GTTGAATTTGTGCATGCATACAATCCAGTCCATAGATCTTCCGAAAATTAGTCATATATGTGATCAGAAACCAACTTTTAATGATAACCATTTTCTCCCGTTGTCATCTATTTGTGCCAAAACAGACGTTCCTTTTTGCTGTTTTAATTACTTTAAGCCATTACTGCGGGTTTCGTGCACAAGCGAACAAAAAACAGACACATACAGAGACAGACACACTTACAGGCATCTAAGTTGAAACATGACTTTAACTAACCAAATCACTTTATACTTGATCAAAGAGGTGATATGTAGAGTATATATACACCACTTTTTAGGGATTTGCTGATGAGTTTTCTTGACTAGTTAGCTTGAATTTTGTTGTGACGATAATACCTTCCTCTGATGATGTTCTTCATATGATGGACAAAAGCTTAGCAACTTTTTACCGGAATCGTGCGTCAGCATGAATCTTCCAGTAGAGAAAATCGACAGCTGGTCAAGAAGAATCCGCCGTCGTCTTCTGGTGGAACCGATTTTCGAATCTCTTCACCAAACACTTTCACTCAAAATGGCAGTAAGCTCAACAGTCATCTCTTTATTCTAAGTTTAGATTCCTCATACCACCAACTAACTTTCACAGGACACGGGAATTCTTTAGCTCAAGTTTTCTTTATTTTACCCCATACTTTAAGGATTTTGAGTGACAGATTAAGTATCTAGCTTCTTTAAAACAGACATTTTTATCGTAAACTAGCCAGTTGTACCCTCCTACATCTTAGTAAACTGACTACTTAATCAGAGATACTGTATAAGAAAAATTCGAATTGCGCTAATGGAAGGTAAAAATACTATTATTTCTGAATTGGCCTCGATTTTAATTGTGGTATGATAGCTTATATCAACGATGCAAGATCCAGGTAGGGATACTTTACAACTGACCTACCATAATATCCTTTTTTTATCTTGATGATCGTTAAATATTTTTAATTATTCTTGGTCACTTTAGGTCGCTTAAGGCAATTTAAGGTCAAATTGTTGATTTTGACACATTGCGATAAGAGGACCTAACAATACCATATAATTTCACATATATTGTTTCCAAAAAGGCTATCTCATCCAGGATGGACTGTAGTTTCAATCTCGCCTTGATTTTGTCAATGCTCCCAAAGCTTGAAAACTACTTACACCGAAAATAATCCAGGTTTTGTATGAATGTATATTCAAACTCTGGATAAAATAGCCTTTAAGAGGCAAGTTTAAACGAAATTCAATGACATCGTGAAGTCTACTCATCTCATTGTTGGAAAAGTCAACTATTATTTCTTAAATCACTTTAAGCGGCTTGGGGTGATTAGTCTCTTACTTAAACATTACTAGTAGTATTGGTAGTAAGATGTAGAGGAACGCACCTAGTCAGGAGTCCATTGTATGCATCATGATTTTCAGAGTAGGACCGTGGACGTGGTACATTCCCAGACATTTCGCCGGCATCGTAGTCGGCATCGTCGGTGAGTCTCGCCATTCGTAGCACCACAACTCGTCAAAGAGACAAGTGAAGCCCATCATTTGACCACACGTGCTAAACAGTTGTGGTATCTCCCCTTCTGCCCTGGACTATTGGCATTTCCTATATCGTCCTATCATGCCTTCCCTATGAAAATTTTTACCGTGCTTATTTTTAATGTACAGTGGTGTGCTCCTTATAGCGGCATTCATGAAAACCCTTCACACTCCACATTGTCGTTATCACACCCTTCACCCTTGTGTTGAGAATGTTGACCAGACTCTGTCATATTGTTTCGTAGTCCTTCCCTGGGTGCTATCAAAGTCTCCCTCTTGCCCCGTCGAATCTGTTTGCTATCTCCCTGGTACATGTATTTCACTCGACCCCTGCCCCCCCATCTGTGCTACTTAAGGCGTAATTCGTCCATCCCCTGCATCTGGGTGATTGATTAGAGGCGCAAGCCTCTGAGTGTCATGGTCACGCCTTTGCTACATGGACCACGTCTCTGGTACAACAAACCTACCGTCAGCCAACTAGCTCCAAACGCCGCCTCGTCTATTCTGTATCTATCCCTAATACCAAGTCTATGACTTGCCATGCCCTAGTTGCTTGCGTGCCAACTCACAAATGTTGTGGTACTGCTGGCTTTGATTAGATTCAATGTTGAATCACAACTTTTGTGGGTTGGCGCACAAGAGACAAGCGCATAGCAAGTCATAGACTTGGTATTATAGATAGAAGAAGGATAGAAATAGTGGAAGCTATAGCTAGTTGGCTAAGAATAGTGGTGATTCAAGGATTATATTTATGATCATAAACGTCTATTGTTAGCCAAATAGCTTTAGTCTTTCCTGTTTCTATATGTAGTACCATGTCGATCGCTTCCTACGTCCTAGTCTCTTGTGTGCCAACCCACATATGTTGTTCTACTTGTTTTGATCAGGCTCACTGAAGACGTTTTCTCTTTGCTTCTGTTTGTTGCTTTCTCATCCTCCTGCAATCTCTTTTTTAAAAATAAAGATATTACTTTGATCCAGTCGTCTTCTTTTTGCTGATCTTACTGTTGCCTGGTCTTCTCCGAGTTTGTTTAGGCAATATGCAAAGTTTTTGCTAATCCTGCCTTCTTCAAGTCTCCTATTAATTAGATCCCGGTCAGTATTTCGATGGCCTCTCGGATCTTGCGTTTTCTTGTATCTTCCCCACATGCAGCTAACCTTTCGGTCGATTTCCGGTCGATTTCCAGTCGATTTCGTGCCCAGTTCGTGCAATGTGTTCCGCTATTTCTGATCTTTTCGTATTCATGTTCCTGCAGAGTCTTTGATGTTCCTTGATTCGTAGACTGATTTTTTTTCCTGTTTCACCGATATACTTCTGCTCACAGTTGCCGCATTTGATGCGATAAACTCCCGAGCCTTCAAGTTTTTCAGTCTTCTCGTCAGACTTATGAAAAGTGTTTTCTTCTCCTTTGTTATCACCCTGATGTTCCATTTCCTTAGTAACAGTCGCAATTGTTGGCTTAGTTGTGATGAGGGCAGACAAACCCACTTTTGGTTGTCATCCTGATCTTGGTATGGTTCTTACTTTAGATGATTTTCACAAACTCCAGAGCATGATATACCAGAAGTTACAGACGGTTAGGGATCTGATAAATAAGCGGCATGATAGGAAATTGCTTAGCTATGGGATTATAAGACAGAGCAAGACCAAGCCAATCCGGGCAAATTTTGATAGTTCTTTATTGAATGCATCAACTGCTACAGACGAGGATAGGACAAATGTAGTAAAACTATCCTCAATCCCTCCGCATTCTGAAACTAAAGATCTTTTAAAGAAGGGGCTACATTTTTCACAAGGTAACGAAGGTAACGTTCTTAGTGATATTTTGGTGGAAGTTGTCAAAATAACGGATAAATATTCAGAAGATACTAGGCGGGAGATGGAACTGGAAACAATCCCACGAATCCTAACCCATCAAGAACCGATGCACGGGAGCAAATTGGCTGGTATACGAAAAAAATTACAAAATAATGATCAAATAGTTCTTCAGGCGGATGAGGGAAGGGCGACAGTTGTAATGGACAAGAAATAATACATGGCGAAAATGGAAAGTAGCCTTGGCGACCGGAACACTTATCAAATACCACGAAGATCAACGGTACACTAAAGAATATGCTCAAGGAAATGCATAATAATGGGGAAATCGACAAATGGATGATTAAATCTTTAATAAAAAATGACACAAGATCACCGACAGCCTACAGACTACCGAAGATTCACAAGGAAGGGAATCCTCTAATACTAATAATTAACAACAAGCATGGTGCAATGCATAAACTAGCGAAATTCATTTGCTTGAAGCTCAACAAAGTAAATGACAGACTCTCGAATACCAGTAAGAATTCATATGAATTTTCTTTAAGGATCCAGAACATTG